ATATTCACTGATTTCAGAGAGGAAGGGAGAGGGAGAGAGAGATAGAAACATCAATGATGAGAGAGAATCATTGATTGGCTGCCTCCTGCACCCCCCCCCAGGGATTGAGCCTGCAACTGGGGCATGTGCCCTTGACTGGAATCGAACCCGGGACTCTTGAGTTCACAGGCTGACTCTCTATCTTCTGAGCCAAACCAGGCAGGGCGGGCTGGAAATTTTTATTGATGTGTGAGCTATTTCCTCTTGGGTTATACTTTGTGTCTGTTCTCTGGAGCATATAGGTGTTTGACACTAGTTATGGGTCTAATGTCAAGGGGATGGTTGCAATGGGTCTCAAGGACAACAGGTGTCCCCTGGAAAGGCACCTGCCCAAGTGAGGTAATGACACAGTCCTCCAGCAATGGAGCACCAGACCCCCAGACATGAGAAGGCAGGCTACTCACATCAGCAAGGGAGGCTCAGAGGGACTGGGGGCTTCCTGATAGTCAGCTTCAATGGAGGGTGACCAGATGTCCCAGTTCCAGGTTTCAGGGCCCTGCTCCTCCAACCTCTGCCCTACCTTTCACATGAGAAACATGGAGAGCCCGGCTGGCGTGGCTCAGTGGTTGAGCGTTGACCTATGAACCAGGAGGTCACGGTTTGGTTCCTGGTCTGGACACATAGTCAGGTTGCGGGCTTGATCCCCAGTGGGGGAGGCAACCAATCAATGATTCTCTCTCATCATTGATGTTTCTATCTTTCTCTCCCTCTCCCTTCCTCTCTGAAATCAATAAAATATTTTAAAAAAAAGAATCATGGAGAGACTGGGAATTCAAGTGACATTGGGATTCTGTAACCCACACAATTTGTTGGGGTCCAGCCCCAACAGGTCCAGGGGTTCCCAAAAGTGTGGACGGAGACAGCAGCATTCAGTTGATCAGCATAGTTGGGTTCTCCAGCCAGGTTCTGGCCAGGTTCTCCAGCCAGGTTCTGTGTTTATTGTCTTGTTACATCTGTATTTATACCAGTTGATTTTAATCCTATCAATTCTATTCCAAAGGTTAGGGCGTTTCTTATCTCCATTCCACGGTTACTCTATTGTTCTATTAAGCTACAAGGAAGTAACTGAAGGAGATTATCCTAAGTAAAGATTATGTAGCTTAAGCATGATTGTTTGTAGTTAAAGTGATTAATTACCCACCTGGCACTTAGTTAAGGGGTTTTATTCCTTCCCTAACTCTAGGGAAAAATCCCCACCTGGGGAAACAACCTTTCTCAGAGAGGTTAAAACACATAGCGCTAAGGGGAGCAAACATATTAAGAACAGTATGCCATCTATGCCAGGTCCCTTGAAACATATGCTGTGCAGATGTTTCTTCCCTGCAGTGACTGTGTCAAGCAGCAAGGATGGACTGGCTTCCGGAACGGGACCCCTCAGGGGATGTCTGACCGACAGCCCGGGAGCCCTTGGGGAGCGGGCCTAAGCCATTAGTCGGACATCCTTAGAACTTCTATGGAGGTGGGAGAGGCTCCCGCCACCACCACTGCGCTGGCCAGCCATGAGCCAGCTTCTGGCTGAGTGGCACTCCCCCTGTGGAAGCACACTGACCATCAGGGGGCAGCTCCTGCGTTGAGCGTCTGCCCCCTGGTAGTCAGTGCGTGTCATAGCAACCGGTCATTCCTGGTTGTTCCGCCATTAGGGTCAATTTACATATTACCCTTTTATTATATACTAGGAGGCCCAGTGCACAAATTTGTGTATCGGGGGGGTCCCTATGCCTAGCCTGTGGGATCAGGGCGAAACTGGCACTCTGACATCCCTTGAGGGGTCCCGGATTGCAAGAGGGCACAGGCCAAGCTAAGGGACCCCACTGGTGCACGATCGAGGCCGGGGAGGGATGCAGGAGGTTGGCCAGCTGGGGGAGGACTACGGGAGGGCTCCAGGGCGTGTCCGGCCCGTCTCCCTCAATCCCGATTGGCTGGACCCCAGTAGCAAGCTAACTTACCAATCAGAGCGTCTGATGCCATATACGCCAGGTCCCTTGAAACATATGCTGTGCAGATGTTTCTTCCCTGCAGCGACTGTGTCAAGCAGCAAGGATGGACCGGCTTCCGGCAACAATTAAACACTGTGTTTGATTTTCAGCTCTGTCAGCCCTGCAGATACAGGAAGTAGGAGAAGTTCTCTGCTGTCATACTATAAGGAGCTAAGAGATAAGAACCTGGAGCTTGAATATAAGGGGCTGGTTACTCAGGGGTTGGCAGACTGATTGTGCAAAACGGGATACTGCAGTAGCAGAGACAGTACAGGAAGAAGCTGCCGCCCCCAGAGCAGGGGAAGAAGAGAAGTTGATGTCATCAGAAGCCTAGGAGCCAGGATGAGGGGCGTTGAAGAGCCAGAACCTGGATCTCTGAGGAGGAGCTGCTGCAATTTTCAGGGAAAGCAGCAGCAGCAGCTACGAGGGAGCAAGGCAGGAGGTAATTTCCAAGGCACCGGCTTCAGGTCACTGATTCTTTGGTGGCATCTCTTTGTGTCTTAATCCATCTGTTGAGATTTTTATTTCAATGACTATGTGTTTGTACTTCTAATGTGGTTTTTCAAGTCTGCCTGGGCTTAAAATTAAATATATATATACATACACACACATACATATACTAGAGGCCCGGTGCACAAAAATGTGTGCACTCGGGGGGGGGGGTCCCCTCAGCCTAGCCTGTGCCCATTTGAAGTCCAGGACCCCTTGGGGGATGTCCACCTGTCGACTTAGGCCCACTCCCCGGGGGATCAGGCCTAAGCTTGCAGTCAGACATCCTTCTGGCAGCCAGGGAGCCCTCGGGCGATGTCCGACTAAAGGCTTAGGCCCCCAAGGGATCAGG